CAAAATAAGTATTGTGCAAAAGACAAACACTCCCATTCCTCAGCGGCTTGACAGCTGTATTCTTTGACGTATTCTGTATTCTGTCACCCCGCGCCGTTCCACCTGTTGCATCCAACTGCAACACACACGTTCCTGTCAGCTGCCCTGTGGGACACCCTCACGCACAAACTTGCAAGCTTGAACCTTGACTGGCAATACTCACACCCGACATTTCGGCTCCGGCAGCTGTACCAACTGCAATGTTCAGCGTAACATGAGGTTGATCATACAGGATACACTGTCGATGTGTGGATCAAGTGTCCCCATATTCATTTGACCATGAAGTGGAATACCCATAAAGTTGTACAATTTATTGTTTAACCATATTCAAACAAATCTAGAAAAGAGGAAAAATGAGATGTAATTTTTCGTATATGTGCCTGTGAGTATCGTTATATTGATGGTCTACTTGTGTTGCTGCATTGTTTGTGTTCAAATATCTTCTTGCTCAAAGAGTTAGAACTACCACAACGTTGATGCTAGTTTTGTTAGCCCATCTACAGCATTTCACATTGCGTGTTAGCATGATGCTGGCAGACTTTGGTTAAACAATGTATATATTTCTTTGTTTTTATGATCAAACTTCGACTGTGGATCGCAAAAGCAGGTTATGTAATGCTTGTTTGCAATAAACAGCTTAAATAACGCTTGTTCTCATCGATCCCTGCTGACTTCGGGAGCGAGACGGGGTACATACACCCTGGATTGGGATCCAATCAATAGCAGAGCACATAGCCTAATCGACAAACAATCAGTCATTTCATTCACACAAGGAACAATTTAGAGTATTCAACTAACCCATCATGGGTTTTTTTGTGTATGTGGTAGGAAGCATCCATGCAAATTCCGCAAACTAAACCCCTGCACAATTTAAGTCAAAATTAAATGCACATCATTCACACACAACCAAGTTATAATATTTGATCTATTCTTGGAAATAAATATTGCAAACTGTACACAATGTTTAAGCACTACTTGGCTAATGAAAGTAGAACTTCCAAATCCATAGAGACAAAAACAATTTGAAAAGCTCCAAAACATTTTTTTTTTCAATTTTCACCTGTTGAAATGAGCTCAAAGTATTTAGCATGATGAAGTCTGGCTATTATATCGTCTTATGATCGTATCATAGCCATAGTCCATTGTAACCTTGACCCTCGAGCTGTGAGTCAGGTATCCTAACCACTCAAACAACGTTCTGACAATTTTAAAATATCCATCTATTTTCTTTACCATTTATTATCTTACTATCCTATGCTGGAGGCTATCCCAAAGGCAGATGACACCCTGGACTGGTCATCAGGGCACACACAACATAGAGACAGACATTCCTGCTCATGATCAGACAATCACAGAGAGGAAACTAAACCCACACTGCCTGCACCCCAAGTCAGGCCAATGTACCACCACACAATCGTTTTGTTACATCCCTGTAATTTACACCAATGCATCAAAATTTAAAATGGTTAGGTGGGGGGAGGGGGGGGGGGGGGGTAGTTTAATTTGTTTTGTTTCTTTAAAAGAAAAATTGAGTTTTTATGACAAATGTAGTCGTTTCCTATGCTTGTCTTGACTCAAAATGCTTCTCTTTGCTCTTGTTTGTCTCTAAACAGCTGCACACCACTTTGCACACACAGTCACAGGCTATTACGTTGTAACAATGGAAAAAGTTAACATTTTTGCCCTTTTTGAAGCCTTTAAAATGTCATAACGTCCTAAATTTTTCAAATAGTGACAAAATCCAAAACACCGATCTGTTCCTTTCTTTTTGGGCGTTCCAGTGCAATTGGTCTTGCTGGGGCGGGGGGGAAGGACAATTTTGTTGTCACGTACAAGTTAAAAATGTGTTTGTTTCCTTAATGTGTGCACTACGGTAGAAAATATACACGAGCAACTATTCCATATTGATCATTAACTACAAAACTGAGGGTATGATTTTTTTAAATTCATTAATATAATTATGATAATGTTTTCTGAGTTAAAATGTTTTATTTGTGTGTTTTTAGGCCACTATTCTGGGCGCCATTAGCTGGTGGTGACGGTACTCGCTACTAACTAACTATACTTGCGAGTACAGTTACTGACAATATGACAAACTTATGATGAAATTATTGAAGTTAATCAAACAACCTAAAGCTCAGAGGAGCTTACTTTTTCAACCGCTATTTCCGCCTGACTCGTTATTCCTTCGTCCGCCATTCTTCAGGCAGCCGCAGGTGTTTTAATTAAATACGTCACTTCAAGCGCCGGCGCAGGAATGCGATGAATTCTGGGAATTTTACGCCACACAAATAAGACTACCGCAATTAGTTTCCCTCCTCAAAAGTTGGCACTCTTAATATTGAAGCACAAAAACCTATGACGT